GCTCGAAGGTGAAACGTTTGAAACCGACCATATTTCGCGACCTTGATGTGTATATGAAATAATGAAAATGAAGATAGGATCTTAGGTCAAAAATTGGGGTATGAAAATACCTCACATGCGTAATATGGCTAGTTTGTAAGGCAACCAAGTGGATTTATCCTAGGGGTGCTTGTGTGCAAGTGTATTGATTTTCATGCTTGATTTTGTCTTGAATTAGGGTTTTCTAAGTATTGGTTTTAGTCTTTCCATACAAACCCTAATTACTAACATGTTATATATAAAGCGATAAATTGCAGAATTTAAAGTTACTACGCTATTACAATACTTGTGGGAGGGGAGTGTACAAATTGTAAATGAGGATTGCAAGAATTTAAACCTAATTAGTCTATTACAACCATATTGAACTGGTACAAATGTACACGAAATTAAATGAATATAATGTACAAGATGAATAAATGTACAAAAATGTGAAATGTAAAGTAAATGGATATTTGTTTGATTTTTTAGAGAAAAGGAATTTTGTTTTAAGCTAATTAATTAAAAGAAAATAATTAATTAAACCTAAATTTATTAAGAAAAGTTTTTAAATAAAACCCTAAATCTATTAATTGATTAAAAGAAAATAAGTTTGTAAGAAAAGCATTTTTGGTATTTTTGTCTTGGAAATAAATTATAGTATTATAAAATATTTTTGGTCTTTTTTGGTATTAAAATAATGTATTTTAATTAGTGTAAAAGAAAATAACTAAAAACCTATTTTAATTAAAATTACAAAGATAATTAGTAAAATAAAATAAAGTATTGATTAAATAAAATAGTTTTTATTGAGAAAAATAAATAAACTAAGTCAAGATAAAAAATTTAATATTTTTTTATATTTTTTATGATTTGTCAGTATTAGAAAAATAATTAAGAAAACATATAAAAAAAAAGAAAATAAAATAAAATTTGGCCAGGGGTACAAATAGTTCACAGGGAGGTCAGAAAGTAAAAACAAAAAAAAGTAAGGCCCAAAGGTGAAGCCCAGCGCCTGCAAAAACAAAGTCAGAAAGCAAAAAATGTGGAAAAAATCAAAAGGATACCACTGGGGTCTCGAACCCAGGTCCCAAAGATTACAGGCGCGCGCTTCTACCACTGGGGTGGCTATACATTCATTAACATAAGAAAAACAATAAATATAAGATACAAAACGCGCCATGATTTACACTTCATCTTCAACCTCCAGCCAGACTAACTGTAACTTGTTCATCTCTCAACAAAAATGAAAACTGTAAACATGAAACTTGTAGCAAATTTCCTCACGGTTTCAGAAATGTAAAGTATTAAAACTATAGATCAAAGATAAGCATGAATTTCATTGGCCCTAATTTGAACCCTAAAAAACTCATAAATTTCAATCTTAAAATTCTCTAAGGTCAAGTAAAATTAATGGGAACTATGAACATGGTTAGCTTTAGGGCAATGATATCTACATGTTTTGTTCACAAATAAATCATTGATGATGCATGTATGAAGAGTTTCAAAGTTAGAAAACTTACCTTGAAAGAGGGTATCGGGTTTGAAGTTTGAGCAGCTTTCAAAGAGTTCCAATGGTTGGGTTAGCTTCCTCAAGTTCCCAGGAAGCTAATGGAATGCTTAGCTTGAGCTAAAAGGGCCTGAGGAGTTCTGGAGAAGTCCAAGTGCAAAACTCTGTTTTTGAAAATGGAGGATGGTATTACAGTTCTGTAACAGGGTGTGGGATCAGTTCTAAGTGATGTTGAGAAGCTTTAGAAACCAAAAGGCTTGAAAACACACGAGGGAGTTATGAGTTTCAAGTTTTTGGTCAGTTTATGTGAAAATGGAGGTATGAGAGGTGATTCTGAATTCTAGGTGTATTCAGGGCTTAAGCATTTGTGTATTTGTGGCAAATAGTTTGTCTATGTATAAGCAAAAGGATTGGAGTGCATTGACAAGTCAGAAGTACAAGTTACAAGCTTTTGGCTAGGTTACTTGATTTTCAAGAAAAGAGGGAAACCAAGTTCCAATGTGAGGTACAAGCATGGGCTGGGTGATTGTAAGTGTCTAAACCGTTTCTCATGTGTTATGAGACATGTATGATCAGAAGAGAACAAGTGCAAGGGTCAAGAACAAGTTTTGTGTAAAAAAACACTTTATCAAAATGACAATGTAACCTTTCTTCTAAAAATGGATATAAAGCATGCCCATGCATTAAATGCTTGAAATGAGACTTCTAACAGTTGTGCAAGCCATTAATTATGGAGTGCCTAACAAGTTTGAGGCCTGAAAAGTAGAGTTTATGCATCATAGTTTGAATTTTGAAATTGGTTCATCACAAAAATGACTTGTAACTCAAGTGATAAAACCCTAACTTCATCTCTTCGATTCTCCCTACTCAAGAATGATCTCAAGGAGTTCTTTGATATTTTGGAAAGCTTGCAATGTGATATACAACCCATAATTGAATTGCTTTTGAAGATTACCCTTGGAACTATATGAAAAAGTGCCATGAAGTTGGGTCAGAATCCTGACCAAATTAGGGCAAAATTTCACTAAGTGTTTTATTTCATGACCACATGTTCTTAAAATTATAACTTAAAATCCAAGCACTTTTGGAAGGAGTTGCGTAAAGAAAAGTTGTAGATTTCATAGATATATATAACTTTCATGTTGGAAGTTTCTCTTGAATCATCATGCATCATGGTGAAAAATTTGTTCAAAGTTGTGAAAAAATATGAAATTTCCAACACTTAGAAAAATTTCTAAGTTTAGAAATTTTGACTTTTCAAAATGAAATTTTGACTTTTTGATTTCTTGATGAATAAGTTTCAAATTTTGACATGTTTGATGAATTTTAATCTTTGACATTTGATTTTGACCAAAAAGTCAAAGTTTGACTTTTCAGTATACAATTGACTTTTGATCAGTTGACTGAAAAATTCATCTGTCAATCCAATGGACTTGGGCAATATTTTGAGCCATGTCATTAAGTCAAAATGATGCAATTGGACTCTTGAGATCATACCTTAAACCAATTGATCATTTGCTAGGTCAAAAATCAGAAATTGCCCTTTCCCAGTCAAAACCCTAATTTTGACCATTTTGCCCTTTTGGGGATTTGATCAAATTTCTTGAGGAATTGCGGTCCAAACTTGATCAAATGATACATATGAGTCTAAAATGTTGATGTGGATAAAAAAATATGAAGTTTGACTGTAAATTGGCCATGGTTGACTTTTTCCCCAATACAGCTGATTTTTAGGTCAACTGCTCAATTGATTGAGCAAAAGTGTGATTCAAGGCTTGAAACTTGAGATGAGTGACCTTGGGGGTCCATAATGATCCATGAAAGTCCTATGGGGCATTGAAAGTTAAAAAATTCTTGTGCAATCTCAAACCCTAATTTTGGTCATTAGTGCTTAAGGAGGTGTCTTGAGCTGATCAATCCTAGTACAGTCTTGAGCCAAAGGAGATCTTGTGAGCAAATTCTTGATAAATGAGAGAGAAAATTTTGGGGTACAACACCTACCATAGAGGCTTGCTTGCACTACAAGAATCATGAGCAATTTAGAAATAAGAATCCAAAATCCAAACTCCACATTTGGTCATATGCAGTCCCAACAAGAATTTGAACAGGAACTTCAATGGACGCGGAATAGGCCATTATATTTAGAAGCATGCAGGTGCATATGAAAGCAATAGATATGATGAAGCAAGTGGAAGTGGCAAGAACAAAACAAGGGACAATGAAGAAGAAGAGGAAGAAAAAAAGAAGAGGAAGAAAAAAAAAAGACGAGGAGGACCCTGAAGAGTATGAGGAAGATCCCAAGGAATATGACTTAGACGAGTAAAAGCTTCAGTTGGTTAACTATGAATCTTTCAGCATTTTCCTTAATCTTGTTTTAAGATGACTTTTTATCATAGTTTATAGAATTTCAGTTATTTTCTGGTATTACACTAACTGAACATGATGCACACTCAAAATATTTTATCTGAATTTCTGCTACATCAATCCGGTGAATCTTGACATTAGGAATGACACAAGTACAAAAGATTTTCTACACTGATACAGAAGGTTTACTAGGAGAGCCACACAGTGCACTTAGCACACTTTGATGCACAAAATTGACTAACCGAGAATCATGAGACTAGGCGACGTCATCCACATTCCACTCATTATTTTGTAGCCCGATGACAGCCAAATGTTTTTTTCAACGGTTGGAATGCAATTAAATTGTTTTCATGATTAATCATTTTATTTATATCAAATAATTTTCAAATAAATTTCTTTATTAAAATTATTAATTTATCCTATTAAATAATGGAACCAAAATTGCATCTCAACCATAATTTTTAAATAATATCTAATTAACTTGTTCAAACACATTCAAATACAATATTATTGTAGCTAAGATGTAAATATGTTTCTAGAATGCAAAACACATTTACTACTTTTATTATTTTGCTCTACGATCTCTGATAAAGACTTACTTTGATCCGATACAGAACTAAACATATCCAATCCACTTATTCCAACAACATTATTCATAGTCTGTATGAAGATGTGAGCTAGTTTAACTATAAGATATGAACTTCTTCCACTTCTGTTCTAACAATAGAGAGCTTGGAAATGTGAACTATCCTTTCATGTAAGTTATGAATGATGATTCTACCATAAACAATTGCACTCACCATGTAGACATGTAATGTATAATATTCACTGATCACAAGAGGAATATCATTAAAAAAATGAATGGAAGAAGAATAAAAAAATAAAACAAAAACTTCTAACATTAAGTCACTTGGGTGACTTTGAGTAAGAAAATTAATAAAACATGACAGTATGCCTAATGATTTGGCAGCCTTAGAATACAATTTGTATGGCAGGCAAGGAGAAGCATCAGTACATTCAAAACCAATTTGTTATGACAGATGTGCTGATAGCTTAAAAAATAATCACTACTGAACACTCTACTCTTTAACTCAACCAAGTATGCAAATAATTAGCTAGCACTGCCATCTCCCTTCAAGTGCTTTCCTTCTTGTACTAAAAAGTGACGACGCGGCTTTGTTTTGCCTCTTGTACGAGCCTTGCGGCACGGATTGAAAATATTTGTGTGTGTCTGGATGTCATTCTTGTTTTGCCAGAATTTATATGGTATACATTCCAATGCTTTGACTGTCATTTTGCAGTTTCTACTGCTCTGTCTCCTGAGATTTATATCAGCCTGTTGTTCCATAGAACCAACATCACAAGGTCTTCTCAGAGGCTCCTCAACTACTTCCCAAGGTATGCTGGAGGGGAAAGACTCAGATTTCTCAATTTCAACACAAGAAACACTCATGCATTGAAAACTGTCATTGCGACTGCTTTTTTCATTATTCTCTTCCATACTTCTGTCTTTTGATAAAGCGCTTGAACTTCCATTTTGGTTGGCATCTAGAAAGCTAGAAGAACAAGAGAATCCTACTTTATCTGATCCCAAACCTCCTGAAAAATTCTGAACGATGCGGCTATTCTCTGCCTTGGCACAAGCAGTCAATCTCCTCCTTTTAGTCTGAACAGCGGCATAATTAGAATCACCTGATCTTACTCTCTGATTTAACCGATGATTTATGATCCTCTTCAGTTGACTATCATCAAACACGCAGGTGTGTTGATTTTTCTGGCTTTCGACCATCCTGTTTGCATCATTATCACGATTATCATGTGGTTCTTTTTTAACGGAGACTCCACTGTTAGATACACCAATGCAACTATCAGTTTTCTTTCTGCCATACACCAGAATCTTAGATTCCACCATCCTTGGTGAATCATCAATTGAAGAGCCACCATTACTTTCGCTTAGAAGATTGGTAATCATCGTAGAAGCATCTTCCAATTCAACAGGTGGATATCTCTTTTGTTTCAGCTTCAGTAGTTTTCTTTCAGGAAGTCTATTGGTATCAATAACTGATAACTTTGTTGACCTCTGTGTATTGCTTTTAGACATATCCTTGTCATGGTTTACTCTCCTAGTATATGTGTTCCCTTTATATCTTTTACCATCAACATCTACCTCAACTCTATGCACTGTATTAGAAGGAACATATTTCGATTCCCTTAAATCTGACGGCTTTCCACTATGCACCGAACTTGTAGAAGATTGAGGGTTGAGGTAACATTGACGATGATCGTCAGAGAAATCATCTTCGTTTGATCCTCCTTCTTCGACTTCTTCTTCAAGCACAATAATATTTGGTTCTGCTACTACTTTCCTCAAGACATCCCCAACAGAATCAAAGTAATGTTGCCCTTTCAAATGTTTTCTCCAAGAAAACTTCTCAACACCGGGAATAAGAAAAACTAGATAATCTTGATTCTTTGGTTGCTCAGAGTGCCATCCTCTTGCCAGTAAGCGGGGCCAAACAGCTTCCCAAAATAGTTCATCACTTCTGGTTTTGCTCAGCCGAAATCCTCCTGTTAAAGATTGTATTATATCTCCCGGTCCAAGAGAAGACAAAGCTTTGCAAGCTGCTGCTGAAAACTCCTCACAACTGTTCTTCCTAGGTTCCAAATCAAGTCGAGTAAGGACTCCGTTTTCCTTTCCAATACCTACTGCTTCTGCAAAAATGCCAAGTCCAACAATAGACTTCATAGAAGATATGTATTTTTCTAGAGATGTTTTGCCTTCCACGTATGACTTAGAAACCTGAGTATAAATATAAGCAAAGTGAGGTTTCAAATCATCATAGTAAATCATAATAAAATGATGACTCATTCAGCAATTCCATCACAATTACCGTTGTATCAAATGCAGAAAACATGTAAAAGAAACCAAATGCTATATCCATATATTAGTGGAGCTTTCACTTTGCAACATTAAATGGAGTATTAAACAATACAAGATGAGATTGCAGAGTTGAATACCTTAGACAAACTATCTTGTGATGCTTTAGAGACATGAGGATTCAAGCGAGACAATAGATCATGTTGCCTCATTTTGGTAGAAAGCTTCTTCGCTATCACACTTTTTCTCCCTTTTAACTTCCTGGACTCCGACCATCTATGATATCCATCCGATTTGTAAAACTTTCCATAGTAAAATGAGAGTATTTCCCCCATCCCTTTGTTCTCTAAGAATTTTTTAATCTGAGTAAAATCCTTCCCAAAAATAAACAAACCGAGTACCAAACATTCTGCATCAGCATCACTCCATGTGACTGAGACGGGCAAACAAGTTGAAGAAGAAAGTGATTTGTCATACTCATCTTGTTCTAAATAAGGATTCATTTGAAGTGAAAATTGGTCTGAATTCGAATCAATTTCCGCCTGGTGGTCAGGACCTATTTTAGGACACGGGCCTTCCTTCTCGTCTAAGGACACCATCTATCTGTCAAGAAAATAGGAAATAAGGCCGTTAAGTATAAACTCATGTTAAGAAGAAATGAGATATAAGACATGTAGATTAGATAAAATCATCAAGAAGCATATATCAAACATGAGTTAATCACAAGCTATTCATATTTAACAGGCCACTGGTTTTTCAAAGCATCATAAACTCTACTGATTGAAAGAATTAAGATTTCATAACTGTTATTATCCATAAGGAAGTGATAGTTTGTTTTGTAATTTTGAGATAACCTAACATAGAACAAAGCTTCTTAGACTACAAAGTTACCAAAAAGACCTAGAACATGAAAACCCTGACTTCACCACAGTGACTATTCTTGAGACATTTCAACAATGATTTAGGGAAAAGATGAAGAATTCAGATTAGTAAGAAACAACATAATGAACCCTAGATGATCAGAGTGAAAACCCCTTATTTGCACGTTGAGAATGAATAAGAAAAAGAGATAACAAAATGCACATTGATGGATGAAGAACATGAAGGAAGATTAAGATTGATCACACACACAATTTACAAGCAATCAATCAAAATAAACGTTTGTTTATCATTATCTATATTATTATCACATACATAGCATAAGATAACAGAAGAACATTGGTGAAAATTTGATTGTTAATCTTTAACGTTTTGAAAGGAACAAGTATATACATGATAATAGCAAAAGAAATAAACGACTGAAAAGAGATATATGATATGGACAGTCCACTCCTCAAACACGACTCTGACACAGACACAGACACACTGATAATAATTTGAAAAAAATGAATAATTTAAATGTAATCGTAAGTGTATGTGTTACAAAGATAATTAATAATGCAAGAAGATAGTGCAACGTAGAAGGAGAAAGAGAACCAACCAGGTTAATTGTTTTTGTGAAAGAAGTGTTGAATGAACGAAGGAATGAAGTAGTAATGAGGTTAGTGTTATTTGCTTACTCTTAAAACACGCTGAATTGAGCTCTATTGTGTTGATTTAAAAAGAGCAAAACTCACTGTGATTATTTTTTTTCTCAAGTTAGTTTTCTCTTTTTGTTTTAAATGATTGGTATACCTTTAAACCAGGGGAAGGCCTAGTTCAAAGTAAAGAGTTTTCAAGTTTTACATAGCGGTATGACTTTGTTCCGAAGGTTATGTTTCCACCTGTCTTACATTTTTGAACTGCTTCAAATTATTATTGTTGTCCAAAATATTTTCAAGTTACTCAACCGTTTTCGTCCTAAAATCCATTTGTTGAGTTTGTGAAAGTCCACTTGGTGTGGAAACCATAATTTAACTATACTCTTTTCAAATATCTTTTTTAATTATTTAATTATTTGATGATATGTGCATTTATCGATGTTTTTAATAAATAATTAGTTTTAATTTATTTATAGGATCAAATTTGAAAATTTTGGACAATCTTTTCTGTAAAACATTTTGAGAAAGTTTGATAGTGTTGTAAGTTTCTTTAATGCAAATAACTAAAGAAATCAAGTAAATGGGTTTAATTTAACAAAAGCTAATAAAGAAGTAATTGACATGTATCTTGTTACATGGACTTTTATCTTCTAATATGTTTTCTCATGTCTTTGATTCTTGAACTTTATCAAATTTTTATTGATGTAAAAAATGTTTTTAAGTTACTCAATTGTGTCCGTTGAAAAGTCCACCTGTTGAATTTGTGAAAAGTCTACTTGATGTCAAAATCATAATTTAACTATCTGCATTTAACATTTATATATGTCTCATATCCCATATCCATGTCGAAATGATGAGCAAAAATCTCAGACTAACAGATGACCCTTAAAAAAATGTCATTTTCGATCATATTTGTATTATGGCAGAAATATGACGTTTTTTAGTAAACTCACATCACTATTTAAACCATTTTGTATACATCATTGTCATCATGTTTACCTCTTCATAGCCATCATGTCTGTAACGTGCAGGTATCCGTCATTATGGCTCCAATTTCAATGGCCATCGCGGACCACAGAAATTAACCGTATTAAATAAAAGTAAAATCATTAATTAGTAATGATTTAAATAAAAATTAAAACACATGTCTTTTAATTTCAAAGGAAAAATTAAAAAGTCTCATTTCAACAACTATATAACTTTCTCTTCTCTTCCTCCTTCTGTTTCACAACGTCACTCTTTTTTGAACCCTAAAACTTTCATTTTTTATAACATTGATTCTCACCTTTTCTTCTACTCAAGTTCTAGAAAAAATGGCTTCCTTTTATGGCATAGAAAAACAACCCCAATCCCTCTGCTACTGATATTAAGGGTCCTATCTATTCTGGTGATCGCACGTTTCAGAACCACCTATAAAGAAAGAAAAACCATCATTTGGACTTTGCAGATACTGATTCCATTCTCTATTGCAAGTAATATTCATGCATTTCTGGATCCTTTACCCATATTATATGTGAAGCCTAATAAATTGAAAAAATTCTTCCCTTGTTTACCTTATTGTAAACCTCGTGCATTCGAGGACAAAAGCTTTGAGTTAGGGTTCATGGAACAATCCCATCATGTATTATGTTCTTCTCATTCTACTAACAGTGAAGCTTATCTCAATTGGATGAATAGAGTGGAAAAATAAAGAAGAGAATATCTGGAAAAATCAAGGCATCTTGAACTTGATTTAACTGTCAAGAATTGGGCCAAGGTACAATGCCAACATGCTCATATCTCCCTTTGTTTTGGGGAATGTTCGACCATTACATTTCATCTTCCCTGTGGGATGTAACCCCATGCTTTTTAACGTTACTGCAATTACTGGGCTTCAACCAAATGGGGAAACTTTCAACCCCACTCTTAAGAATAAGATCAAACCTAAACCTAGTTTCACCTTCACCCATGCTAGTTTCAACGCCTACATTAAAGACCATCATGACTAAACTAAGGAAGTCTCTGACTGTGAGCATATTACTTTTATCATCTTTTGGTTATCTCATTTCATTTTTTTATAGTTCCCTCCAAATAGCTAAGAAGTTCATACCTCTAGCAACCCAACTTCATGAGGAGAAAAATGTTTGTTTCAATGGATTGATCCGGAGTTGTCTTTATGAATCCTTAGGGCTTGCGTCCCTTAAACTTAAAAGCATAATCAGTTCTGGAAAAAATTCCTAATTTTTGGCCCTATGTGGCTTTTGCAAAACAATGATTTAGCAAAACAATTCAAATTGAGACAAGTTGGAGGTACTAGACTCGCTTTACTGACCCCAGAAGATGCTGACTTATTGACCGAAAAAGCTTTCAGAAAATATTTCTTTATACATCTCGATTGTGCCACATTTGTTTCTTCTATGGCTCCCATTTGTCAATCGAAGGCATGGACCAGATTAGTTCAAAAAAGAATTTCCAACCTCTTTCCGTGGAGACCTTTCTGAATCTCTCGACCTCTGTGTAGCTTTATTTAAACCTAATGTCCTATTGACTAGAATTTCAATTAGGAAAGTTGGGTCGAGGCTTGTTGGATATCAACCAAATTTGGTGGCTAGACTGTTTGGTTTGAGCCAATTCTTACCAAGATTTCTTTTTACCAAGGAAGGGTGTTGTACCCCAAAATTTTCCCTCTCATTTATCAAGATTTTTCTCACAAGGTTTCTTTGACTCAAGACTGGATTAGGGTTTGGTCAGCTAAAGGCATATCATCTTGCACTGATGACCCAAAATTAGGGTTTGAGATTGCACAAGGATTTTTGGACTATAAACGCTTCATGTGACTTTCAAACATAATTATGGAACCCCAAGATTTCTCATGTCAAGTTTCAAGCCTTGAATCACACTTTTGCTCAGTCAATTAGACAGTTGACCTAAAAATCAGCTGTATTGGGGAAAAAGTCAACCATGGCCAATTTATAGTCAAACTTCATAATTCTTGATCCACATCAACATTTTAAGCTTATATGTATCATTTGGTCAAGTTTGGATCATAATTCCTCAAGAAATTTGATCAAATCACCAAAAGGGCAAAATGGTCAAAAATTAGGGTTTTGACTAGGGAAGGACAATTTCTAATTTTTAACCTAGAAAATGACCAATTGAGTTAAAGCATGATTTCAAGGATTCAATATCATCATATTGAACTAATATCATGGTTCAAAACATTGCAAGTTCATTGGATTGACTGATGAAATTTGCAGTCAATTGATCAAAAGTCAATTGTACACTGAAAAGTCAAACTTTGACTTTTTGGTCAAAATCAAGTGCCAAGGGTCACAATTCATCAAAACATGTCAAAATGTGAAATTTATTCATCAAGAAATCCAAGTTTGAATATTAGGGTTTAAATTTGAAAAATTTTCTTAACTTAGAAAATTTTCTAAGTATAGAAAATTTCTTATTTTTTCTCAACTTTGGGCTATTTTTTCACCATGATGCATAATGATTCAAAGAAAGTTTCCAACATGAAAGTTTTATACCTCCATGAAATACATAACTTTTATTCACACATTTTTCCCTAAAGATGCTTGGATCTCAAGATATAAATTTATGAATACATGCTCATGAACTAAATAACTTAGTGAAAATTTACCCTAATTTAGGCAGGTTTTGGACCCAACTTCATGGAAAATTTTCACCTAGTTCCAAGAGGTATCTTAAAATGAATTTCAAAGATGAGTTATAGAGCATGTTTCAAGATTTCCAAAATGTCCAAGAACTCCTCATGATCATTTTTTAGTAGAGAGAATCGAAGAGATGAAGTTGGCAATTTCTCACTTTTTGTCCAAGCCATTTCATGAAGAACAAAGTTCCAATTAGTACCTATGTTGCCTAATCCATGATTTACAGGTCCCAAACTTGTTCCTTACTCCTTAATTTAATGCTTACTCAGTTGACAAAGCTTTGATCCAAGCCCTAGAGCCATTACCCAAGTTGTAATTCCATAAATGGCATAAAGTGACCATTGCCATTTTGAAAAAGCTCAACTTTTGCCACTTTCCAATTCTTGAGCATTGAACTTGTCTCCATTGTACATATAAGTC